TCTCGGCGCGCGGCCCAGCACCTGCTGCCCTCCGCCCGCCCGGGGCGCAGCTGCCATGCGGCTGGCGCTGCTGTGGGCCCTGGGACTCCTGGGCGCGGGCAGCCCTCTTCCTTCCCGGCCGCTCCCAGGTACAGGTGAGCGCGCGGACAGGAGCAGGCCGGGTGGGACTGACAGGAGGCGCGGGGAAGTCGGGAGGCATTGGGGTGCTGGGGTCAGAAGACCCTGGGAGACCCCAGCCAGAACGCCGCGGTCCGCCTGGGTCTGCTGTCCTGGCCCGAGGGCCCGGCGACTGGGGTGGAGCGGGAAGGAGGGTCATCCTCGGCACCGTCCCTGCGGACACTTCCAGGCTCCAGTACCAGGCACCGAGGGGCCTGGCGCAGCGCCGCATCCCCTAAGGCTCGTGGGAGAGGGTCGCCGCTCCACAGGACTGACGTCTCGGTCCTCTGGGGCCTAGCTGACAGTTCCGCCCGGTGCCAGGGCGCAGAGTGGGCACGGCTCTGAGGGTTTGACGAAGAGGATTCTTCCCGGCCCCTCCTCCCAAGGCCTGAGCGGCCAGGCACCGCTCACCCCAGTGCTGATGCCACCAGAAGCCTGGCTGAGCGGGAGGGGGCCCGGGAGAAGCCAAGAGACGGGAGAATTGGCCAGGAAAAAGACTGGGACACCAACTCCTCCTTGGAACTTTCACTTCCCGCTGATGTCTTGGGCCGGGGGCCGAGAGGGCAGGCGGGGGTGGAGTGTCCGGAGGAGAGAGGGCCATTGTAGGGAGGGGGGGGCACTCAGGGAGGAAGCAGAGGCTGTGGGGAGAGGGTGTGTCTGACTGGGCATGAGGGGTGTTTAGGGAGGGGGGTGTTTGCACTGCTCACCCAGAAATGGGCGTTCCCAGCATCTCCGATGTGAGGAAAAGGGAGGGTGAGTGGGCGCAGGGCCACAAGGCTTGGCCCAGTCCTCAGAGGGGGCGTTCCTTGGGGGGTTGATGGGGTGAGAGTGGGGAGGGTCCCTCTGAGAAACTGGGATTGGCTTGAGGGGGACAGGGATGGGCCACTGCTGGACAAGCTGAATTTCTTTCTCTGGGGACTTGTGGATGGGTTGGTGGGATGAAAGCAAACTATTGGAGAGAAGCCCCCCCACCCCCCATTCTCCTTTAAGTCCCAGCATGCAATGCAGGAGTCCTTCAGTCAGAGAAGGGCCTTGATGTGCTGGAAACCAGGTGGGTCAGAGGATACCCGTTACCCCCAGCCCTGGTGCTGATTCTCTCAGCTCTTTCTTGGGGTGTCTTGGGGACCCTGCAGATGGCACCAAGGAGGAGCAAGCAAGGCCAGAGAGGGCCCTGAGTGGAACCTTGGAACCCCAGATTCTTCAGGATGACCTCACGCTCAGCCTAGCAGAGGTGCTTCAGGTGAGCCTCCTTTTCCCCTCAAGTAAAGAAACATCCCCGCCACGCCACCCAATCAGGTGTCTCAAGGCGAAGCTTGGCTGAGGGGCAGGTGATTGGCCACCCCAGGCCTGGCTGCCTCTCCCACCACACCCCAACACCTGGCTGCATTTATCACCCTCTCCCCTCTATGCACATCTGTCTGCCTCAGCCCCCCGCAACCCATCCATCCCCACTGGGAAATTCTGAGGCCAAACTTGCTTTCTTGCTCCCATGCTGTCAATGTTCTCAATGGGGGTACTTAGAGGGGGGGTCAGGATCACACCGAACGCCCTCCCCCACCCCCAATTCTAAAGCTGAGTCAGAGGAAGGGCTGGGGCCTGCACTGGGTCCTCCATGACGCTTCCTCTCTGGGCAGGAAGCGGAGGGGGCGGCTCAGATACCTTCCTTGACCTCCCCACACAACCCCCCAGAACAATGCCCCAGGTCAGGCGAAGCTTCCTGGCCCCTCCCTTGGGATCCCCCCACCAGTGATGTAATCATTGATGCTCTCCCAAGGGCTTGACATTTTCTGCTTAGGGAGGATAGGAATTTTGGGCAGGGACACGGAGGTGACCTGCCCTCTGGTGCCCACAGACCAGTGTGCCTGAGACTTTGCGGATCAAATTGGAATTGGATGGTGAGAGTCATATCCTGGAGCTGCTACAGAACAGGTAATAATGATAGTGGTAATAATAATAATGATAACACGACTAACAATTTCTATGTGTCAGGTGCTAAGTGCCTGAATTCATTTCATCCTCATAACGACCCTATAAGGTAGATACAATTATGTATTATTATTGTTCTCATTTTATATATGGAGAAATAAAGGTACAGAAAGGTTAAGTAACTTGCCCAAGGGAACATTTGAGTTCTTGCTCCCCGGCATATGTCGTCAGTTTGGCTCAGATAAACTCTTACAAAAATTCATTAAAAAAGAAAAACCTTGCCCAAGATCACTCAGCTAGTGTGTGGTGAAAACCCAGGTGGGACTCAGATAGTCTGGCAGAGTTTGTGGCCCAACCACTATGCTCTGCTGCCTGTCGGAAGCAAGAAAGTTGGGGGATCTCCTGGCCCCCAGCCACGCTTCTACCACCTTCAAGCCTCAGGCTGTCACTGTGCCACCCTGGGAGGCAGCTGACACTCCCCTCCTTTTTCTTCATTCCACAGGGAGCTAGTCCCAGGTCGGCCCACCCTGGTGTGGTACCAGCCTGATGGCACCCCGGTGGTCAGTGAGGGATACACACTGGTGAGTGAGGCCCTCTTGTGCCCTGTTTCTGGCCTGAAGGAAAGAGGGTGCTATCCTGGAGGACGTGGGAGGGTGCTATCCTGGAGGACGTGGGGGGACGCTGCATATCTTCACCAATAGGCAAGTCTCCTGGGCTCGAACCCCGGCCTGTCCCTCGAGCTGGCACTGTGTCTCTGTGCTGTAGGAGAACTGCTGCTACCAGGGAGGAGTGCAGGGCCACGCAGACTCCTGGGCCTCCATCTGCACCTGCTCCGGGCTCAGGTACGGGGCAGATCCCACGAAGGTAGAGAGAGTGACAGGGCAGGAGGCACAGAGCTGGAAAGTTTCCTGACTTCCTCCCTCTTTCCCTAGGGGCTTGGTGATCCTGTCCCCAGAGAAAAGCTACGCCCTAGACCTGGGACCTGGGGACCTTCAGGGTCCTCCTGTTATCTCCCGGATCCAAGACCTCCTTCTGCCAGGCCACACATGTGCCCTGAGCTGGCGGGAACCTGTGCCCGCTCGGACGCCACCAGAGCGCCCCCTGGGACAGCGTCACACTCACCGGGTGAGGAGGAATGGCAGGAGGGCTGGCTATTTGTTCACAGTGACAACAGCTCCTGCTGATGGAGCGACTGCCATGCAGAGCAGTGTGAGCCATTATCTCCTTTGCTCTTCACAGCAGCCCTGGGAGGGAGGGGCTACAGAGAACTTGATTTTAGTGAGAGAGGTTAAGTGACTTGCCCAAGGCCATTCAACAAAGACGTGGTATCTCCAGGACTTAGGTGTAGGTACTAGGCTCAAACTCCTCAGGTCTTATGATCCCACATGCAGAGAGCTCACTTGGATGTCGAAAATACCTCGGTCCCAGATCATAAAGCCACAAGACCCCCGTTTCCTAATCTGTCAAATGGGGATAATAGAACTACTTACCTTATAGGGTTGCTGTGAAGATTAAATGACTCAAGGTACATGTAGTCTTAGAACTGTGCCTGGCGTGTGGTATGTGGTTATGTTGGCTGTCCTTATAATTTTTCAAAATTTGTGAAAAGCACTGAATTTGGAGCCAGCAAAGTGGGGCTCTACTCCCAGCTTCGACAGCCACTTCTCGGCCCACCTTGGGCATGTCCCTGGCCTCTCAGGCTTGCAGTGGTTCTACTGTACAATGGGCTCTTCACTCTCCTCCCACAGGGTGGGAGTGGACACAGGTGGCTCAGCCCTCCTGCTGTGGCAGAGAGTGGTGGGTGTGCCTCTGACTCCTCCTTTTCCACAGTGGAAGCGGGACGTGGTGTCAGAGACCAAGATTATCGAGCTGGTGATTGTGGCTGACCATTCGGAGGTGAGCTTGCTGGCCCCTGCATGGCCTCCCCTGAGCCCGCCTGCCCTGATGCCCTTCACGGTCACCTCTCTTCATGCACAGGTCCAGAGGTACCCAGACGTACAGCACCTGATGAACCGCACGCTGGAAGTCGCCCTCCTCCTGGACACAGTGAGTGTCGGGCTGGGTGGCATCCTTACGGCCACTGGGCCGTGGGAACCCCTCTCCTGACCCCCAGCTCTCTTTCAGTTCTTCCGGCCCTTGAATGTACGTGTGGTGCTAGTGGGCCTGGAGGCTTGGACCCAGGACAACTGGATTGAGATAAGCCGGGACCCAGGTGTCACGCTAGACAACTTCCTCCACTGGCGCCGGGCCCACCTGCTGCCTCGTTTGCCCCATGACAGTGCCCAGCTGGTGACGTAAGACCCCCGGGCTCAGCCAGTCCCCCCCCCACACTCTGCCCTGGCCAGTTGCACACCTCAGCTCCCTCCCAGAGGCCCTGACGCTCTGGCCACCTCGGCTTTGGGGCTTCATCTTTGACGTCTTGACCTCACAGCGCTACCGTGTTCTCTGGGCCCGTGGTGGGCATGGCCGTTCAGAACTCCATCTGTTCTCCTGACTTCTCGGGAGGTGTGAACATGGTGAGCTACTTCCGGGTCTCTCCCCCATTCCCGACTGCGGTGCTATTTATTTACTGAAACCCGCTGCGAAGCTGCCCAACCCCAAGCTGTGGGTACAGAGGATAGGGGCGCATCATGTGGCCTCTGCTGCCAGGGCTCCCTCACTGATGGCCAGCTCATCACTGTACAGTCTTCACCTAGGTCTTCCTATTTGCGGGGGGGGCGCGGTGCAGCTGAGGCCCAAAGAACTGAGGTGATCTCCCAGGGCCACACAGTGAGGGAGGGGAACAGCTCAGCTGGAACCCAGGTTTCCTGCCACCCAGGCCTGGGCTCTCCTTCCACTTTAGAAGCAATTAAGGAGGGAGGCGGTGCCTGCTGGGTGCCCTAGAGGTCAGATGAGGAGAGGACAGGAGCTGCTGGGCTGGTGCTGGACCTGGGGCACGCCTCCCCACAGGACCATTCCACAAGCATCCTGGGAGTCGCCTCCTCCATAGCCCACGAGCTGGGCCACAGCCTGGGCTTGGACCATGACCCACCTGGGAACAGCTGCCCATGTCCAGGTCCAGCCCCAGCCAAGAGCTGCATCATGGAAGCCTCCACGGAGTGAGTAACTGCAGGAGTAACGGGGGTGGCAGGGGGCAGGGGGCGGTCCACAGCCCCAACCTTCCTTGCTGCCCTCCCCAGTTTCCTGCCAGGCCTGAACTTCAGCAACTGCAGCCGACGGGCCCTGGAAAAAGCCCTCCTGGATGGAATGGGCAGCTGCCTCTTCGAACGGATACCCAGGCTGCCCTCCAAGGCCACTGTCTTCAGAAATGTGACCATGGAGCAGGGCAAGCAGTTCACCTGTGTCTTCCCAGATGTGAGCCTTGCCCCACCCACTTCTGTGCCCTCGCCCTGGCTCACGGGCCCTCTCTGGTTCTAAAGGGCCTTGTCACCCCCTCCCACCTCCCTGTCCAGGATCAGCACGTGGTTGTTGGGCTCTAGCTTTCACTCGCTGTGGGCATCCTTCTGGGTTTGGGCTCTGGGAGTGGGGCTTCTAGAAGGAGGCTCAGGCCAGCCTGCTCGGATGCTCAGCCTCTCTGTGCCCTGGCCCACAGGACTGCACCGACCCTTGCTGTGACCACTTCACCTGCCAGCTGAGGCCGGGGGCACAGTGTGCATCCGATGGACCCTGCTGTCAAAATTGCCAGGTGGGTACAGACCAGACTGGCCTAGAGCTCACCTGCCAGGGACCAGGGTGGAAAGGGTCATTCTGATTTCCAGGGCCTGGCTGGACTCGCCTGGCCCCCACACTGGTGCTCACTTGCCCTCCACAGCTGCGCCCAGCGGGCTGGCAATGCCGTCCAGCCAGAGGGGACTGTGACTTGCCCGAGTTCTGCACAGGAGACAGCTCCCAATGCCCGCCTGATGTCAGTCTGGGGGATGGTGAGCCTTGCGCTGGAGGACAGGCTGTGTGCATGCAGGGGCGTTGTGCCTCCTATGCCCAGCAGTGCCAGGCTCTCTGGGGGCCTGGGGCCCAGCCTGCCACCCCGCTTTGCCTTCTCGCTGCCAATACTCGGGGGGATGCCTTTGGGAGCTGTGGGCGCAGCCCTACTGGCAGCTACGTGTCCTGTGCTCCTAGGTAAGTGAGAAAATGGCTCCTCCCCTGGGTTTGTGGGAGTCCTGGCCCTGCTCCCACTGACCCTATGCCTCCTCCCTCACCCCAGAGATGCCATCTGTGGGCAGCTGCAGTGCCAGGGGGGCATGGCCCAGCCTATGCTGGGCTCAGCCCAGGATCTGCACTGGGAGACACTGGAAGCCAATGGAACCCGGACAAATTGCAGCTGGGTACACCTGGACCTGGGCCGCGATGTAGCCCAGCCCCTCCTGACTCTACCTGGCACAGCCTGTGGCCCTGGCCTGGTGAGCAGCCTGGGTGGACGAGACCAGGTGGGGAGGGCTGTCTGTGCACAGGTGAGCAGTGCCCGGGTCTCACTGCCCACCAGTTTATGGGGCACAGACTCTGAGGGGAGTTCACGTTGTTGCGACTAAACAAAGTCCTGTGGTCCCACGAGCTTTGGTTTCCCCTCTGTAACGGCGGGGTGCGGCCTCGGCTGTGGTGGCCTCCAGTGCCAGGAAAGTGACCTCGCTCTTCCTCCCCATTGGGCAGGTGTGCATCGACCATCGATGCCAGCCCGTAGAGCTGCTGGGAGCACAGGAATGTCGAAGCAAATGCCATGGGCACGGGGTGAGCTGGCATGGGGCGAGGGAAGGGGTGCAGGGAGCCTGTGGGGAGGAAGAAGGTGATGGGCTTTGGAAGCAGACATACCTGGTTCCAATCCTGCTGTCCCACTGCCTAGCTGTGTGACCTGGGCAGGCTATTAACCTCTCTGAGCTCAGTGTCCTCCTCTATCCAATGGGCCTGGTAACAGTACCCACTTCCTGGGATACGCCATATGAGTATGAAAGCTTGGAGCCCAGTGCCAGCATACAGAAGGCACTCACAATGGTAGTTTGATCTCATTTCCTCTGGCACAGGTTAAGACCCCCTCTCTCCGTAGGGTTGGCTCCCTGTTACCCCGTCATCCCAGCACGCCTTCCAGTTGTGGGTGTCTGAGATCTTGAAAATCTGGGGACAGGGAAACACGGCCCCAGACCACAGAGCCCCTTATTTCTCAACTCGTATCTCCTAGGTCTGCGACAGCAATCGGCATTGCCGCTGTGAGGAGGGCTGGGCACCCCCAGACTGCAGCGCCCGGGTCACAGGTAGCATGGCCTGGACGCAGGGGCTGCTGGGAGGGCAAAGGGGCTCATCCTGCACCCCCCTCTTTTTCCAACCCCTTCACTGCTGGTTCCCTGACTCTCTGTGGCCCCCGACCCTCTGTTTCTCTGAGCACTTGACCTCACTTCCTGCCCCCTGCCCCTTCCTGGGTGTGGAGTTCTCACCCTGCCCACCTTCCAACCTGCCTTCACCCCGCAGCCACCAGCTCCCTGACTACAGGGCTGCCCCTCAGCCTCCTGTTGCTGCTGATCCTGGTGTTCCTTGGTGCCAGCTACTGGCACCGCGCCCGCCTGCGCCAGCGACTCTGCCAGCTCAAGGGACCCAGCTGCCAATACAGGTACCAGCCTCCCTGCTGCCAGCTCCCTCCACAGCTCTGCAGAGGGCAACAGCCTGGAGCCCTGCCCCCACCCCTCCGCAGCCCCTGCCACCTGCTTCGGACCTCAAGCCCCTTGGGCCACACCCCACACACCTCCCCTCCTTCCGTGCGCCCTGGGACTCTTCACCTGACACTAGACCTGCGTGGGGCGGCCAGCATGCCCCACCCCCACCCCCGAGCGCCTGGACTGGGGAAGTGGAGCCCTTCCGCAAGCTGATAAGCTTCCCCTCCTCACCCCTGATCCGGCCTCAGCCCCCACACACCCTCCTCTCTCAGGGCTGCCAAGGGTTAACCCCACTCCAGGGCTGTGTATGGATGGAGGCTGGACCCTCTCCAATCTTGCCTTTCTTCTTGCTCAGGGCAGCCCAGTCAGGTCCCCCAGAATGCCCAGGACCCCCACAGAGGGCCCCGCTGATGTCAGGTGCCAAGGTGAGTCCTGGCTGCCAGAGAAGAGAGGGCCCCACCTTGGCCGGGCATCCAGCTTGGGCCCTGGGGTGGGGCTATTGAAGGCTCTAGACTCAGAGAAAGACACTGCCCAAGAGTCAGGCAAAGGAGGGCCTAGAGGAGGGTCTGTCTGCTGAGCCCTTTGAGCTAGCCAAGCTGGTGGCTTTGAGAGGTGGGTCTACCCCTGCTCCCAGCAGGGGCCCCTGGAGGGAAAGGGGGCTGGGGCCCACAATGGCCTTCAGTGTGCCAGGACCCGATGAGGCTCGGTTCACCATTGTAGAAGGGCTGGTGAGTCCCCCTGCCCTGAGCCCTCTGTATCTGATGACAGGAGTATGTGTGTGGAGGTGGTCTGCATGCCCACGTCACCACTTGTCACCCCCTCTGCATGCATCTGAATAACAGCATGCACCATCCTCACAGCCCCAGGGGCCCTGCCTGCCCCTCCTTAGGCACTAACCCCTGTCTGCCCACATCTGTCTCTCTGCTCCCTCCCCGTCACCCCACTGTCTGCCTGTCTGCTCCTGGGGCTGTCTCAGCAGGCTAGTGCTCTTGGCTTCCCGGCACCCCCCTCCAGGCCGCTGCCTCCTGACCCTGTGCCCAAGAGACTCCAGGTAAATCTGGGCCAGGCCCCCGTCCTGGCCCATGGTAGGCGGGAGGCTTGGTGCCCAACTGCAGTTCTCATCCCTGTTCCCTGCCAGTGTTGCTCTGCATTAGGGGACCAGGGTGCTCCTCAGCCTTCAGACACTCTGAGCCCCAGAAGCAGCAAAGGGTGAGCCTCCTGCCTTGGTTTCTACCGCCATCTGGTGGCCAGTGGCGGGACTGCAGCCGGCCAGGGACACCATGGTGACCCATACCTTTCTTCCCCAGGCATCTGCTGGCATGCACCCAAGCCCTATGCGCACGTCCCCATTCTCTCCTGCCCCCTGGCTGGTTTTGAATGTTGACCTGAACCCCTGGGGAGAACCTCTGCATGCCCACTGCCTCTTGCTGTGCTCTCACAGCCACTGCCCCTCTCTCTGTTCAGGCTGAGCTGGCTGACCGACCCAATCCCCCCACCTACGCTCTGCCTGCTGACCCGGTGGTGAGGCATTTGAAGGTAACAGTGGAGGGAAGGAAAGGCACAGCCTCTTCCCCCACCCAGGGCTGTGGTGGTGCTGGCCATGGCAAGATGCCCCCTCTGTGCCTGAGGGCACCTAACACGGTGGCATCTCTAGGTGACAGGTTTGTTTGGAGACAAAGGTGACCAGGTGCTGCTCTCCCCCCCCACCCCCAAGCTGGTGTTCCCCAGCACCACTGCATGGGGGGTCCAACATGACACACCCTCCCAAGCCTGCCTCCCACCTTCTCTTCCTCAGTCTCAGGGGCCTGCAAAGCCCCCACCTCCGAGGAAGCCACTGCCTGCAGACCCCCAGGGCCGGCGCCCTTCGAGTGACCTGCCTAGCCCAGGAGTTGGAATCCCGCCCCTAGTGGTACCCTCCAGGTGAGCAACAAGGGGCGCTGAGGGTGGGTGGGCAGGGCGAATGGTTGGGGAAAGAGGACCTCTGACCTTTTTTCTTGGCTTCCTGTACCCCAGGCCTGCGCCACCGCCCCCAGCCGCGTCTTCGCTCTACCTCTGACCTTCCCTGAGGTTCCGCTGCCTCCAACCCGGACTTAGGATTTTAAAAGGCGACGGACCGACTGCCCGGAGCCCCACGCGATGACCGAAGGAGCTGGAGCCTGGACGCAATGGAGCAGGCACCTTAAGACAGCCGGCACCACCCAAGAGTTGTTGAACAACACCCTGGGGACTCGCCCATGAATTGCAGCTGGGGGCTGGGGAGGGGCTGGGCGCTGGACCTGGCTGGGGAGGTGTGCACAGCCTCCCTCTGCTCAGTTGCAATAAACGGGAGCCCTTGGAAGAGCGCCTCGGAGTTTGTCAACTCAGGCCGGGTTGCCCCTGATGTGGTTTCAGCTCTGGCCGCCAGGAGACGCTGCCGCCCCAGGCGAAGACGGGCTAGGGAGAATGAGAGTCCCAGTCTAGGGCAGTGTGTCACCAGGGATGCTCACGGCTTGTTTCTCCCAGCCTGAGATGGCTCTCTGTGTAATCCAGTTCCAAAGGGAGTTGTACGCCCTTTGCCATCGCCAGTCGCCAGACCCTCGCCCCCAACGCCTGGGGGCGGCATCGACAAAGGGATCAAGCACTTGGACCCGCCGTCCCCACACTCTGACTGGTAGTTGGGAAAAGTGGACCTGGCTGGTGTTCTCAGAGCCCCGGAGCCGGGGCGGAGCTGGGCGGCGGCTCCCACGATCCCAAGGCCTCGCACCTGCCTCCTCCCCCGCCCCCACCTGAGGGCTGGGGAACAAAGGTGCTTTGTACAAGCCGCAACCACCTCATTACTTCGTCTTCGGGACTGGGGCCGCGTGGGCCCCCAGCCCAGAACGGAGGTGTAAGGCGGAAAGGGACAGGCGCCAACCCCAAGGTGGGCATCAAGGTCGCCACCGAAGACTGGGGGGCAAGGGGAGAAGGGGTGTCCCAGGAGGCGGTTGGTTCCTTCCCCCAGCGCTATCCCTACATGTGCAAAGGAAACGGGCGATGTGCTAAGGTGGCTGGACAGGCTTCTTGGATCCTCGACCCAGCCTCACTTTACTCTTTCTGGGAAAAGGGCGTGCGCTCCTATTTAAATGTCCAGACTTCTAACAAGGCCTTCTAGGCTGTACTAATGCAGACACGGAGACACGACCTCCTTAAAAACCCTCCTGGAGAGTGGAATACATCCCTCCTCCCGCCCTCTCGAAACGCGAGGTCCAGCGTCCGTAGGAGCTTGGCTAACCCGGCGCGCAACGGCGTAAAGGGGGTTAACGGGAGTTGGCGCTGAGTGGAGAGGCGGAGACGGGCTCCCATTGGTTGAAAGTTATCCGGGGGCGTGGCTTGTGGGTCTCCGCACTCCACCCCCTTTCCCGCACCCTCCCTCCTCCCTTCTCCACTTTGTACCTTTCTCGCGGCGACGGCGAAGCGGGCCGGCCGGGCCGGACCAGACCAGACCCGACCGCGGGGGCGATGCGGCTGCTGCCCCTGCTGCGGACTGTCCTCTGGGCCGCGCTCCTCGGCTCCCCTCTGCGAGGGGGCTCCGGCCTCCGCCACGACTTCTACTGGAACTCCAGTAACCCCAGGTAGCCGGGCCGAACCCGGCCAGCAGCCAGCTGGGCCTGCGCGCCCCCGGGCCGGGCGCGCGCCCGACTCTCGCTCAGAGTGCGGCGCCGCCTGAGCCGGGCCGCGCGCCAGGGCTCCTTTGTTTGAGCCGGCGGGGGAGGGGGGAGGGGCGAGGCGCGCCCCGGGTCTCCCCCCACCCGCACGTGTTGGGGGGCGGGCGGAGGACCCCAGCCCCGAGGGCGGTCGGTGGGGTCTTGAAGCCGGGAGCTGAGGGGCCACGGCCAGCGCTCCGAGCCCCGCCCCCCTCGCTTCTCTCCTGGTGATCCCCAGCCTCCCTCTGGCCCGAGCTGGGGTGGGTGGACTTGAGAGCTAGGGAGGGGGCTTTACTCCGGTGAAAGAGAGTGGGTTGCTGCCCTGCTTACTCGGCCTCCCCTCTGGCGCGCACTCCGTCTCCTGGCATCTCATTTGGCATCTCTGTTTCCATGTCGGTCATTATCTGTCCTATTTCTCTCCAGTCTCAGCCCTGCCCTTCCAGCTGAATCACCTTTAGGCAAGTCGTCTGACCTCCCTAACCTCAGTTATCTCATCTGTAAAATGGGCTAACAATACCTAGTAGCTGGGAAATCAGGCGGGCGAACTGAGTTCATGAGTTTGAAAGAGGTGTGTTTATTATAGAAATAAACTATTGTTTCTTTCTCTCTCCTGAGCTGCCTGCCTTTGAACCTGGGTGTTTTGTACTGTTTCCATCCCCCTCCTCAATTCCCTCTGCTTCTCTCTGCTTTCTCTTATCTGTTTTCCTTTCTGATTTTCTACTTGAGGCAATCTGTGACTCTGTGCATTTATTCACTCACTAACATTTATTAAGCATATACTGTGTACCAGGACCTGTGCGAGGGTGCTTGGGATTTAGAGAGGTAAGAAGACCTAGTCTCTGCCCTCTAGGAGCCCAAAGACCCCCTGGGGAGGGCAGGCTGAGGGACAGGTCATTACAATACCAATACCGTGTGATAAGAGCTATTGTCCTCCAACTCTGAATTCCTCTCTCTGTTCCAGACCAGTGCCTCTGAATTAGGTTCCTAGCCCCCATCCCTGAGGTTTCTGGTTCATTCATTCAATCCCCGGATATTTATTGAGCGCTATCCTTGTGCAGGACACTTTTCCAGGCACGAAGGATGCAGTGGAACAAAACATACAAAGGCCCAGCTTGTGTTCTAGTAGGTCTGAGCTGGGCCCAGGAATCTGCATTTCTAATCAGAACTTCTGATGCTGGTGGTCCTCGGACCACCCATTGAGGGACAGTTGGAGGCCTTTCCTAAGTCAAACTAGGCTGTGTGTCTGGTTGGGAGGGGGCAAGTGGTTCCTGCTATATTTGATGCTGTGAGGGGCAGCCAGTCTTAGCCCTTCTCACCTGTACTGGCTCCCCCAGGCAACCCCCAAGAGGTAGGGAAGGGAGTCCTGAGCAGGCTGAAGATGGGGTGATAGGTGGACGGCCCCCCCTCCATGTCTGCCACTTCCTTGTCCTGGCAAAAAAAGGGAGGCACCCCCTACCCACTCCCTCATTCTTTGTTTCACCATGGTCTTCTGTTCGGTATTGGACTGAGGTCTAAAGGGCAGTGACCCTCTCTGCATCTTTTAAGGAGGACACTGTCCCCAGTCTCCATCTCTGCCTCTGTGACTGCCTTGTGGGCTCAGATCTCTATCCCTTGCCTCTGCTCCGGCTTTGTCACAGCAGCCATCCACCTAACATTTATCTAGCACAGGTGCTGTGCCAGGCCCTAGGCACTGGGGCTGGAGATCTAGGCGGCAGCTCCAACCCGAAAGGCAGGGTGTGGTGAGAGGCCTTCTCACACTGAGCCACGTGGTTCTGGGCACAGTCCCTTAACCTCTCTGAACCTGTGAATCTGTCACCTCATCCATTTCTTACACTCTTTGTCTCAAGACTTGTCAGTTTGGGGAACTCAGGCCTTGCTGAACTGCTCCCTCTCCAGAGGACGGGGAGAGGCTGGCAGGGACCCTTGGGAAGGGTATCTCTGACCCTTGTGCCCCAGGCGTGCCATGCCATGCCTACTTTGTGCCTGCAGGCTGCTTCGAGGGGACGCAGTGGTGGAACTGGGCCTCAACGACTATCTAGACATCTTCTGCCCCCACTATGAGGGCCCAGGGCCTCCTGAGGGCCCTGAGACCTTTGCTTTATATATGGTGGACTGGCCAGGCTATGAGGCCTGCCAGGCGCAGGGGACAGGTGCCTTCAAGCGCTGGGAGTGTTCCCTCCCCTTCGCTCCCTTCGGCCCTGTTAAATTCTCAGAGAAGATTCAGCGCTTCACACCCTTTTCGCTTGGCTTCGAGTTCTTGCCTGGAGAGACCTACTACTACATCTGTGAGTGAGGAAGGGCACTCTGGTCGCCTCTAGGGGGAGGTGGGGAGAGGAGCGGGCACCTGCCGGTAGGCAGAGGACCTGAGGCGAGGGGGCGGGGCGAGGGGACTGGGAATGAAGGCCAGGCCTGGCGGGGAGAGGGGAGCTGTGGACTGGGGGGCATGGGAGAGGACCTGTGTCCAGAACTGAGGATGGGGATATCTAGAGTGAGTCTATAGAGAGAATGAGACGGTAAGAGGAACTAGGAAAGGGGACAGAGGGATTGGGGGGGTCACCTGGATGGGGCCCAAAAGCAAGGAAAAGCTTTCCAGGGAACTGGAGAGGAGAGAAGCTGGGAGGGTCTAAGGTATTCCACAAAACAGCCTGTGCTAACTTCTTCCTCCGATTTCCCACCGCGCAGCCGTGCCCACTCCGGGGAGTCCTGGCCAGTGCTTGAGGCTGCAGGTGTCCGTCTGCTGCAAGGAGAGCAGTAAGTGGCTGGACCACAGGGAGCAGCCCTGCTAACGCGTGCAGAGTCCTTGGGAACGAGGGAAGGCACAGGAGGGTCTGAGAGCATCATCAGGGGTCCAGGCCGGGCTGTAAGCTGTGGCCTCTTCTCCCCAGTGGAGACTGTGGCAGCTTCCACTGCAGCCCTGGGTGCTGAGCCAACAGAACCGCATCTCCAGGGACAAGGCCCTTGAAGGCCTTAGCTGAACTGGTGGTCTCTAGTGGCAATTTGGGGGAGACTTGGAAGTTGGGTCTTACAGAGGATGGGGTAGTAGATTATGGGATGGGGGTGGCTGGTTTGGGAGACCCCAGAGAACAGGATGGGTGTGAACAGCTAGCGGGGAGGGCAGAAGGAGGCTGCCAGAATGGAGGACCCATCAGTGCGCCCCCTCCCCTCACAGAGTCCGAGTCAGCCCATCCTGTTGGGAGCCCTGGAGAGAGTGGCACATCTGGGTGGCAAGGAGGGGGCGCTCCCAGCCCCCTCTGTCTCTTGCTACTGCTGCTGCTCCCAATACTGCGTCTCCTGCGAGTTCTCTGAGCCAAGCGGACCCTTCCTGCCACCCCAGGACCCAGAGCCCTCCCAAGGCTCTGTGGAGGAGGAACCCCTGCTCCCTGAGCTGGGAGTGCCAAACTGGACAGACAAGATGGAGGAGCGATGCGGGGGGACAGAGGGTCTGAGGTGCCCCTGCAGGAGCCGGCCCCTCATCCCAGGTTGAAGAGGAACTACAGGGAAGCTGCAGACAGCCCTGGGCACCTGGCACCCCAGCAAGACAAACATGGGGTCTCCCTCAGCGGCTCTGATGGTCTCACCCGTCCTCCAGGCAGGAAGACTGGGATTTGGTGGGATTGAATCCTTGAGCCTGCTGGGAGCCAAGGCCAAAGACCTGGGGCAGGTGGATTGCTGGACCAGGGCGAGGAAGCAACCCAGGCCTGCCATCTGTGCCCAGTGCCCTATGGGCCCCTTCCCTGGGGCAGCACCTTTCCCTCCCAGGGGGTCACTCACTTGTCTTCTGTGAAGACAGACTGGCCATGAGGCTGAATTTCATACCAATTTGTATTTTTATAAGTATCTGGACCAAACTCTCAATAAATCACCCATCTTTTCATTGCTCTCCCCAGCCCACTGCCCTCAGGCTCCTTCCGTGACACCAGGACTCCCTGCGGCCTCTGCTCTCAGCTTGGTTTGGCCTGACCTCCATGCCAGCTGTGCCCAGGCCATCCATGCCAGACCTTGGTGGACACCCCTGTGGGCAGTGTGGGGTGGGTGCCAGCAGCAGCTGTGGAGCTTGGCACCCTCTCCCACCTCCCTAGCTGGCTTCCTGTGCTGAGGAGGGGCAGATGCTCCTGCCAGCCCACCTACTTGGGGCACTGCCCAAACTGTGGTAGCGCCAAGCAGGGCTAGTAGAAAGACAGCACCTGGGTTTCGGGACTCGCGGGTCCCTGAGAGCCCCGCGTCCATCCTCCTCCCAAGGGCAGTCTGGGCGGGGCCTGGCCTAGAACTGGGAAGGTGGGGTCAGATCAAAGCCTCCTTCCCCAGCGGCCTCTTTGTTCTGTGCTTTTATAAGGAGGAGGGGGTGGGGCAGAGGAGGGAGGGACCCCTTTGCTCTCAGCCCCACACTGTCTCTCCCACCTCTGGCAGGCAGGGCTATGATGCCCCCAAGCCCAACTGGGGCCCACTTTCTGAATGGTGTCCAGGGTGGAGCCAGGGGAAGGGGCACCCCTTCCTCCGCAGCGCGCTCTACCCGCCCCGGTGCCCCGCAGCCTCCATGGGCACAGTGCCGGCCCGCCTGGCAGCGAGCCTACGATCGATAGGTGGATGTTGTGCTGATTAGCTCGGCGGCTGCGGCAGCGAGAGGCGGCGTGTGAACACGCTGGGGGTTGGGGGGCGCAGAGGGTGCTGGGGGTCCGGAGACAGACTGACTGAAAGGCCGGGGATTGGGAACCCCTCCACCACCCCCCTTGCGCACCTAGGTCATACCCCGGTCCCTCTCGGTTAATTCCATTGCTCTGGCTAATGCCTGGGGTGCAGGACAGCAGCGCGGGCGGAGCAGACACGAGTCGACGACCCCTTCCCCCACTCGAGGCCACTTTCAGAAAATGCCATGTCTGTAGGTGCTGGTGCCTGCCTATGCGTGTGTCAGGGCCCTCACCCGAACCGATCTGTAGCGGGGAGGAGGGGCTGGAGTGCGGAGGGCGTGGAGTCTGAGCTGAAGGATGAGCTATGGGCTCGGTCTGCCGATCCTGGGTTCGAGTTTCCATCTCTACTGTCATCCAGGAGGGTGTTTATATGTCGCCATGGAAACGGACTGTACTGCTACCTCCGCCCTCTGCCGTGAAACCATAGGCAGGGCAGTCTGAGGCGACTGGTTAATAGCCCCTGCCCTGCAATAAGGAGTGTGCGCGCGTGTGTGTGTGTGTGTGTGTGTGTGTGTGTGTGCGGGAGGGGGGGCTCACTCTGCTCCTAGCTGTTCCAGACACCCTCTCTTGGCCAATCAAGCCCGGCGCGCTCGCTCCGAAGTCGGGCCAGCGCGCGGATCCGCCGCGGATAAGAACGCATGTGCGAAAAAGACCTGGTCCCGGTCGGCTTTGCCCGCACTCGGACGCACGCCCTCCCTCCGTGGGACGCGCATCCTTGACACAGACACGCCCTCGCCAGCCGCCCAACAGCCTGCAGGTGCGAGAGCCGACACCTCCGCAGCCGCGCACTTGAGCCGAGGGCCGCAAACTCAGGCCGGCCGGCCGCTGGCCTTAAGCCAAGTCCGCCCTCCCTACCCTCACTTTTCTGCTCAGCCTGGGCCCTACGCGGACAGCTGATTCAGTCCCAGGGCGCGTCCCCATGGAAAGCGAGGGCCAAGTCCGCTCCTGGGGCCGAGATGGGCTGAAGACGCTGGGCGGTCTTACGGGACAAGGCCCTACCTAACTCTTGAGAAGTCCTCCAGGCGTGTTCCGTGGCGCGGTTCCAGGAGGCTTGGGCAGGCCTGCAAGTTTTGGGGCGTCACCGATCTCCCCTAAACTCAGCGGCGCTAGACGGCCGAGGGTGGGGCCCTCAATTTGCTGGGCCTGCCCTAGTCTCTCCCAAACAGATGCGGAACTCCCCTCGTCTTTACCTCACTTTATCTCGCTGGCTCGAGAGCCTGAGTCTTAGCGACTCTGTCCTGCTCCACACTTTCCCCGGTCACCCACCCTCTTTCCCTAGAGGCTAAACCCTGAAGCTTTGGTCTTTCTATGTGACCCCTCCCCTGTTTCTTCTCTCTTATTAATTCCTTCCTTCCTTTCCTTATTCATTCATTCACAAATTGAGAGCTCCCAGCCAGCCCTTCTTTCAGCAGGCCACATCAGCTGGGGTCATGGGGGGTCCCCAGCGGTGATGCAGTTGGAGAGGGTCACTCGGGCTTCCAAATAGCCAATAGAATTGGGGGGGGCTTGGGGCATGAGGTCATCAGCGGTGATGCCCATTGGTTCAGGCCTGGACCCTAGGGGGGGTCCCCATAGCAACCGACTGTGCGTCGGAGCATAACCTGAAGAGTGGTGGGTGCTTGAGCTCCAGAGGCAGCTTGGGGGGTTGGGGGTGGGGAGGCTGGGGTGGAGCTCAGTTTCCCAGGTCCTGCAGCCCTAACCCAACCAAGCGTTTATATTCCTTTTTTCTCGCTCAGAGTAATGGCCAGTGCCACCTAACCCAGGAAGGTTAGGAGGGGAGAGCTGACAACAGCTTTGTGGTCTGGGTGCCCAGCTACTGACACCTGGAATGTTAATTCTGAGATCCTCGTGTTCATCTGCATATAGTTTGCATCTCATTTGCATTCTCTTCATTTAAGGTCAAATTGGGCAGACGTCTCCACGTCCCCAGCCCTGTCGCTGTCTGTATCCTGAATCTGTCCCTTAATCTCTCTCTCAGTTGTCCAGTACCTTACCCCACCCAGCTTCCCAGCCTCCAACGTCTCCTGGGGGTAGGAGGGGGCGCAGCCTGGCAAAAGGAGACAAGATAAGAAGTCTGCCTCCCCCTCTGGATATTTGGTGACAGATGGGGAGGGCTGGTCTGTACTGCCTAGAGACTAAATTGGCAGAGCAAACGGTGGGGGGAAGTGCCCTGAGCTGGAGTGAGGGTCTCCAGGGCCAAATCACCCACACGCCCAGCAGGGTGCTGGGACTGGGGATGCCTGCTTCCAGCGAGGGGCAGGCCTGCCCACCTGTCTGGTGCCAGGGCAGCTTCCTTCCTCCAATTAAACCCTAATGAGGTGTCATTAACCCTTACCTTGCCTGCCAGCCCTCAGGTGGAACTCAAATTCATGGTCTCACACTTGAGTGAAGGGGGAAAGGAGGGCCTTTGAGGAGGCTGAGAGGCAGTCAGGTCAGGGGACCAGGGGACAAGGAGCAGGGAGACGGCCAGAGGCAGGAGTAGCCTGCACTTGGTATCCTCTGTGTGCTTCTGGGGTGAGGGTGGGGGTTCCACTGTCTGGATGCATTTAGTTTTCTGTTCCTCAATTCGGCAATTACTTAGGAAACACCTCACTTACTCCTACAAACTCCTAATGCCAGGCTGCCTGCTAGATGCTGGGGATAACACCTGCCAAAGACAAGATCCCTACCCTTAAGAAGCCTTCCGATTACTCGAGGAGACAAACTGGCTAACAAATAATTATGCCAAGTGCAAATGCTGTTATAGGGCCGTGGACACAGTGCTATGGGAACACAAGGAAATGGGCTGTCAGAAAAGGCTTGGATTTTGAAGGACAGGATCATGGCAGGGAGCAGGTGTATGTTTGACTCAGTGAGGGTCCACGCTTAGCTGCGTTTTCAGGACCGCTGGTGTCTGCCCTCCCAGAGCTGTATGTTTTACATACAGCTGTATATATCTGTGTATAGTGTGTCTATGTGTTGTCTGGATCTCTCTGTGTCTGAAATCCCTTCTCCTGAGCACACGTTGTGGTTTTATTACAGATCGATGTTTGCTGTGAAGCTTTTGCACAGATTAGCCTGAACCTGCCCAGCCCAGGGGAGGGGAACTGGAGAACTGATGTTGGCTCTTTGGGAAGCGGTGGGCAGGCACCATCTTCACACCTGGAGGCCCAGACCCTTGGCTGCCCAAGTGGCTGCAGGCTGGCCAAGGGAGGCAAAGGGGTGGGGCTCCAGGCGATGAGCGGGTATGCCCAGGCCCAAGTCCTCCTGCCCCTGGCTCCCCAGAGGAGCCATGGGGGTTACAGCCACCACTCCCCACCAAGATCTCAGGCCCCCTCCCCCAGCCTGTTCTTCTTCTGTCTGCGGAGGAGCAGGCCGGCTCAGACCTGTCTGCTGTTCTCTCCCGCAGGGAGCTGATCCTTTCCAGGGGACTGGAGAGGGCTGGGGAATGCTGGAGCCTACTGGGAGGCCCCAGGTCCTCCACCCTGGCTCTCAGTGGCTCTCTCTCTCCAGCCCGGATTCTCCCCACCCACTCTGGGGTGCCATTTCTTGGGTTTTTGCCCAGACATGGCCATCTTTGCCAAGGAAGCCCTCAACTGCTAGGCAGAGGGTGGGGGCAAGAGCTCTGGCAGTGATGACAGGTGTGTGTGTGTGTGGGGGGGAGCGGGGACAGGGAGATTGTGATGGTCTCTGTACTCAGAGACCTCTCCTCTAATTCCCTCTGCCTCCTTGCAGCCTCTTCCTAGAAAGTTAAATTTTGGTGGCAGGAAGGAGAAGGGAGTCTGGATCAAGGGAAAATTTCAGGGGTTAAGGAGAGGCTCTGGGGTCTAAGGAGAAGGCCCAGGACCCCTCCTTCCACGCTGTCAAGGATGAGGACTTCTGCTTTGAGCTGTAACTTCCCCTCTCCCTGAATCCACCTAATCTTTTTCCACACATCCCTCCTCCCCAAGTCCTAAGCCACCTCTCCCACTACAAGAGCTATTAGAGGAGGTTGGAAATAGGGGAGAACGAAAGGAAAAGAGAGTCTGGGGCTAATCTGGGTGGGTGGACATCAGGAGATAGCCTTCTCACAATAATGACCAGGAACCCTCCATGAATCAAACACCGATGGGTCCTCAACACCATGCTAAGCGCTTCCCAGACGTGGATCTTAATCCTCATAACCACCGACTCCTAGAGGCAGGGTATGATTATCCCCACTTTACAGGTGAGGAAGCAGTCTCGGAGGAGAGAAGTGACTAGTACAGCCAGGGAGCAGGTGAAACTGGAATTCGAACCCAAGCCCACCCCGGTGACTGCTAAGCCGGACTGCCTCCCTCTCAGCTTTTCATGAAGCACACTCAGAAGTCACACACCTCCGGGGTAACACCCGAGATGCCTCTGCGTCAGGCTTCTCAGCTTGCTGGGCTCATTAGAGGGATCAGGGCATGACCTAGGATCAGAGGTTATTACGCCCCGGCCCTGCCCACCAAGCCCTGTGTCCTCGCTTCCTGTGTGTGGGGCCACATATCCGTGCGCCATGCTCCCTATTGTCAATCACATGTGTGGTTCTATGTCAACTCACGGACCTCAGGGCACCATGTAGCCGTGATGACACACACACTTGGGAATCAGAAGACCCATGCACTGCCCTCCTTGTTGACACCCAGGCCTCCGCACCAGGACCACACCCACCTGCCTACACTGGGGCACGCACGTGGGCCCTAGGCAAGGTGCAGAACCTGTGAATATTTCATGTCTGGAGCTGGCGGCGGCTCCTCCCGCTCACACGCATCCCATCCTCCCTCTCACAGGCTCTTGTTTATTTGTTTAATGAATTATTTATCCATGGCCCCCCCCTTCCCTCCTGGCCTCCCCCTCCCCCTCAGGCCCTAGCCTCCATGATTTATTGAACACAGCTCAGCTCTGCGGTTGCCACCCAAAGTCCCAGGAGCCGCCTTGGACCACACACCTCTGCCCCTGACCTGTTCGGCTCCCTGCTTCCTAGGCTCCAGGGGGCGGGGGCTGAGACGCCATGTTCGGAATGTTCCCAGGGGCCTGAGCTCCATGCCCCTGGGAGAACATGGCAGCCAGCCGTGGACTGGCAAGCCTGAGGGTCAGAGGGAAATGAAGGCAGAGCCTGTGGGAGAGGAGAAAAAAGGCCCAAGACCCGAGAGAGAGAGAACCAGCCCGTGGAGAGAACCCCAGCCTCAGCAGAGGGCCTCACCCTCCAGGGAGGTGTTGATCCGGGAGGGCCCAGGCCTTAGACAGCCAGTGTTTAGCTTGTGACCCATTGGAGTAGTGAACCAAGAAATCAATTTTATGGATCTCAACCAGCTTTTTAGTTTATTTAAGAAAAAGTTGAGCATAGAACAGAAGAAAAATATCAGAGCGTATCCTCTGTAGCAAGTGTAAGTATTGTTTCGTGAAAATTATTGTTTCAGTTGTGTGTGTGTGTGTGTGTGTGTGTGTGTGTGTGTGTGAGTGTGTTTACTGCATTGCAAGTGCAAAATATACATCCCATTGCTGTGATGGGTCACAGTGAGGAAAGATTTGAGTCACAGTTATAAACAGAGGCCTAGACCTCACTGATGGAAGCCTGGATCCTTCCATGACTCGAAGGCCACAGGAAGAGGCCTGCTTCAGATCGGGGTCCCAGGCCCGTGGACAGTGGCCCAGATCTTATATACAGAGAACACTAGAGCCGCCATGAGTAGAGGCCTGTAGATAGGACTGGGCATTAGAGCCGGGAGCCCATAACCCACAGTCAGGACTGACACATACACTTGTGCAGTTTGTGCATGGCACACAGTAGCCACCCCAGGTGTGAGGTGAGGCTGACCTCAGCCCCAGCTCCCTGACTAAGATGGGGAGAAACATAGGGCGGTCTTCTGACGAAGGACACAGTCCCTTTGTCTCTTCACACAGGCACCACTTGCCAGGAGATGCACCCTAACGACTGGGTGTGCACAGAGGGGAGCTTTTTCTAACTCATGCAAAAACCCGAATCAGCCAGCAGCTGATTCAGATAGAGGCCCCAATAGACAAAGCACCAGATCCCATAGACAGAGGCCTCGGCCCTAGAGAGACTATCTCAGAACTTAAACACCAGAGGCTTACATCCCATAGTGAGAGCTGTTTAAATCCTACAGAGCAGGCTCCAAATGCTACAGAGAAGGGCTCAGTTATGATGGGAGTGGGGGTGTGGGGGTGCTAGTTCTGAAGAGGAGGATCTGAGCCCTTCAGAAAAGGGCCCACACCCGTAAGTGGGATCCAGGCTCCACAGACAGGGATCTACGGCTTCTAGAATGGAATCTAAAGTCCCAAACCGGCAAGTTCCCACTCCCTGGGAACATGGGCAGCCTCTCTGCCAACTGTGGGCCCCACAGAGAGAAGCCTCCCTTTGCAGAGCAGGGAATGTGGGTGGCGGGGAGGGGGCTGGGATTTGTGACACCTGGAGTAGGCAGGTGAGCGTCGTTTGGGTGAAACAAATCTCCCTGGGGACAAGGAGTCTCAGGGGGAGGGAGAGCTGTTTGTAAAGTCCCCCCTTCCCACCCCAAGAGGCCTAATTTATTTTCTGGCTTCTGCGTAGGGACAGGAGATCTCCTGGTGAAGAGGAGCTGAGGGAGGCCAGAGCTTGCTCTAGTCTGGCAGCAGCTACGCACCTGCTCTGGATGGCACTGCCCCTCCCCCAAACCCAACACAGGGGTGGACTTATGGTCCGGGCCTCTGTCCTGCCATGGATAAGCAGATGAAAGGGGCCTGTATGTCCTCTCTCCTGCAGTAAAGAAGAAAAGACAACATGCCCACCCCCCCTCAACCACCCCGGGCACAGGTGGTTGGCTTGGGTTCTGAGAACCTAGTCTGAGATCTGGTCCTCCTGTTCACCAGGCTGAGCCTCTGCAAAAGAGAAGACGGGTGGACGCCCCCTAGGTCTGGATTCTAGACCATTTCTCTCAACTTCTGCTCCCTAGGAAAAGAGAGGAGAGGAGAGCAGGGAGCTGTGTGTGTCAGAGGGTGCGTGTGCCTGGGTTTGTGCCCCTCTGCCTCTGCCTCTAAGTGCCTGTGTTTGCACAGATCTCTAATTATCTGATAGTACCTTTACCTGTGTGTGCGTGTGTGAGCGCACAAGTCGTATCTGTGTGTCTGTATGTCCATGTCAAGTGCCTGTGCTATGTTCTATGTTCTCAGCCTTTGCATGTCAGTGCTTTTTCTCCTGAATGTGTGTGAGTAATATCTGTGTCGGGGTGTCCCTGTGAGGACAATGACTGTGGTGAGAGCTGCTATGCAGGGCGTTGACTGGCAGTAGGAGTGAGAGTGCCTGGGGACACCATTGGCCACACTGGGAAGGGGCCCTCTTGATTGTGAGTAAGGAATCCTTTGTAGGTGTCCCAGGAAAGCCTGGTTTGCTCTTGCTGACTCTCTCCTTGGTCCCTCCTCCGCTTTGGGCCCTGAACTGCCAAAGGCCCTTCCAGCACCCAGTATTAACATTCTTGGGGGCTGAGCTCCTCTACCCCACCTCCAAGAAAAACAAGCCTCATGCACAGCTGGAGCCTTCAGGTCGACAGCTCTCTGGTCCTTGGTGCCAGCTGAGGGCTTCTCCCCCACCCTCTAGAACCCACCTAACGAATTCTTCATTCACACGGAAAGAGGTGCATGGAGCGAGCAGAGGACCAGACCCTTCGTTCAGAAGGAAGGGGGTCTAGGTCTACTGATTAAGAAGTCCTGGACCCCCTGCTTCTTTTCAAGTCCCCTTCACCCCATCCCAGAGATAAATGGGCTCAAGGAGACCCAGATCCCTGTCTTCACCTCCCTAATCCTTCCCCTGAGAACTCCAGACCAGGGAGCAGAAAACCCAGAACAAGCGGTAGCAAATTAAACCTAGGAGGGAGAGGCGGGGAGCGCGCGGGCTGTTCCCGAGAGGGTAGCACGGCCCCTGCCTCCCACGCGCCGCGCCGCGCCGCGCCGCGC